TTGGGTAAAGTGAGTTAAAGTGTAGCAAGGGTGAAAAACAACTCTGAATAACAAAAAAAAACTGTCTTGGTTAATGGTAATCCCTTCAAGCAGGGGTTAACAGATGGCAAAAATTCCTTCCAGTAAATCCCAGACCTACTTGGTACTTTAATTATGTGCTTTCATCTCCTCAGACCATACAAACGGCAGGAAAAAAACATCCCCCCATGCTGTTCAATGTGTGAGCATGTGTGCAGGTCTGCTCTGAGGGACAGAGGTAAAGTGAAACAACATGTTTGCTTCCCAGAACGCGAAGACACAGCATCTCTTTAGAAGAAGCGCATGAGTTATGAATGAGACAACCCCAGATTCCCCAAGAAACAAATGAGGGAAGTAAACACAATGGAGCCCCCACCAGCACAGTTGGAAAACTTTCCCACAGATGGAAACTGGCTTTTAACCTTCTTTCCCCCCCGCCCCCTTTTTCGGTTTTATGAACGAGTTTAGGCTAAAGGCATGCCCCTTTATAGAAACACACTGAGAACAGACTTTGCGTTTTTCCCCTTCCTTCATTTACTGATCCAATGAAAAACTGAATGCGGGCACGCAGTGAATGGCTGACTCATGTGTCAGCACAGCAGAAGTCTTGCAAGCAAGGCAGACACTTCAACAAAAGATCCCAGATAACATTACTGAAGCTTGATCCATCCATTTTCTCACACCCTTGCCCCTAGTGGGGTGGGAGGGGTGCTGGTGCCCATCTCCAGTGAGACATTTTGGGCGTCCCTGGACAGGACAAACAACCCTGCACACACACACTCACACCTAAGGAGAATTGAGAGAGACCAATTAACCTAACAGTCATGTTTTTGGAGGAAGCCGGAGAGAACCCACGCACACAAAACGAGAACATGCAAACTGACCCCACAGAAAGACCATGGGGCCGGGAATCGAACCCAGGACCTTCTTGTTGCAAGGCAACAGTGCTACCAACTGTGCCACTGTGCAGCCCCTGATGCTTGATATAGGCCGTTATTATGGTAGAGGAATGAGAGTGACAACATGGTCCACTGTGGAGGGTATGTTTTCTGCTAAAGCTAAACTGTAATTATAATAAAGTCAATATTAGCATTCCAAGTACTTTATATTGTTAAATTTTCATCATAATGTTTCTACATTTGATGAAATGACAGAAAGTCTTGGAATAACCAGTTTTCTTCACCTGTATGGAGCAGAGTCATGTAGCACAGCCCATTCCCCACCTGTTGCTGCACACGCTGTCGGCAGGCTGAAAGAACGCTCCTTCACTTTCATCTTCAAAACAGTCAAGACAAATTCTATTGCTTGGATATATTTAGTGAAAAATCTACCACAAGCAGCTGGGTTGAAATGATTAATCAAGTAATAGTGAAGGATTACCTATTTAGTAATTGATTAATCATTAACTGGCGTATTCAGACTTAAAAAGGCCATTTGCTGAAAGAACAGCACACTCAGAGCAGCAATTTACCCAAACCTAAAAGAAACAACAACATTTTGCATTTAAAACAAAAACAAACTGCTTTGTAAATATGTTCTAAACAAAACTCATTAAGTGGCATAGTTTTAGTTTCACCCGTTTCTAATTCTATAAAATAACAAAAATCCCCTATTAAGCATCTTTTGCAATCCAACTATAAATCAGTTAAGCTAAAAAGAAATTTGAAAAATAAAAATAAAACAGATCAGTCCTACGCTGTACTGATGTTGAGCCAAACAGAAAGGGCTGAGCTTTTGACATGTTGATGTCAGAAGTATGTTTTTAAGCAGTAGCTGCATCTTTTACTAGAAATGATCGGGCATACACTGAAGAGGGGCTTTGTTATGGCATTTTAGGCAATAAAATGTTTATTTTCTTTTTTTTAAAGCAATTTAATTGTTTATTTTCATCTATTAATGTATTGCTAATGAATAAGAATAGCTGCTGCAAACAGTCGACTTTGATAACGTAGAATTTCATGAATTTATCCATTATCAGTTTGAAACAAATGCAAGAGAGGTCATCCTTTAAGGTGCTGTGTGCCCTTTGAGTCCAATCAGCAGCAGCTTGTGTTGCTGTGTGTTCTGCTTACGTCAGTCATTTTCTGTCTAAGTCACTGGTTCGTACCTCCTGGGCATTAGTTGTATAAACAAACATAATAGATAAATCTCCTGCTTTGCTGTCAAAATGGGTCGTTTACTTATGTTATTCATCTCCACAGATGAATGAGTTGAAAGCACAAAACTACTTCAAGTTAGACTATAGCCTCCCCAACAACGCAGTCCCTGCAGGGAGGGCAGTTGTGTCGATGTCGTCTGTGATAAATTCTGTTTTGTGGCGGCAACTGATAAGCTGTTCACTTCGTCTGGCACGCTGTCTGGTGAGCCGCTTGAGCATCGTCACGTGGTCGTCCTCCTCCGATTTCCTTTTTGTAATATGCTTAAATGGGGAAAAACATAATATGCCATATTTTTCAAGATGACAAAACATATAGATCATCCGCCAAAAGGTCTCATCTGTTCGGACAGGTTTTGGAAAGCAGCTGAGATAAATCTGACCCAGACACTTTATGGTAAATATGGCATAATCATCAGGATTCCCGAGCCTTGGCATGTCTGCAGTTTCAAAAAAAAAACAAACAAAAAAACATTTCACCCAGACACTATGTTAATATTCCTGGCAAGAGGTTGCTCAGAAAATACTGGAGCAGAGGTCCCATGTACAGAAAGCAGTGGATGAAGGGATGATGTCCTCTGTTGAACACTCAAAACGTCCACAGAGCTGTTTGGTTCAATCCAGTCCGTAGCTTTTAATTTTATTTTTCTCTAGTGGCATTTAGACTACATATTGAAATGCTAACATGACATAGCTGCATTTTTTCTGCAGTAGAGTGTTCCAGCATTATTACACTGGATGCATCCCTGCGCAGCTGTTGGACAGACACAATGCCCTTTTATGAGTGCAAGATCACCTATTCTGGAAGGAGTTTAACAAAACATGATCAATAAAACAACCAAGTAAAAACTTAGGAGTCTATTATTGAGAAATGATTCAGTGGGGTGTTTGGAAGCCCTAGAAGGCTTAACTTCTTTACAAGAAAGATACATTTTGCTGTTCAGGGCAATTTTTTTTTAAAGTCACTATGAAAACTAAGGGTGTTTTCACACCCAATAGTCATAGGTTCTGTTCAATTGGGGACCAAAATTGCAACATTTGTTACATTTTCAGCTGGTGCAGTTCGCCTTCACACTGCACTGTGTCAAAAAACCTTTTGAAAAACCTGTTTAGCCCCTTTCCTGTGGTGGCACTGCACAAAGAACTACTGAAGTAAACGACACAAAAACTTCAGAAGAAGACATTGACTGGAACTTTGTTCTTCACAAAATGCTAAAAATGGAGTGGAGTCAAGATTTTAGTTGCAGGATTTCTCTTTTGTCTTTGGTAAAAGACAACAAGTCATTTCTCCTGCTAGCTCTAGAATCTTGCATTTGTTTTAGTTGTATTCACCCAGAATGCCCTCCGCTTTATTTTATGTCCTGCTTTTGAAGCAGTCCCCAGTCCTCTTGGCATTCACATATGCAGTCGAATTGCACCAAAATTCACTTCAACTGAACCAAAGTGAACTCCTAAAGGAGCACAAGCCATCACTCAAAAGGTAACACTGCTTAGAAACTAACTTGAAAGCTACAAGAGGCTAGTCTTCTAAGCATCTGTTGAGCTTATACCACTAGGAATAAAGGCAAAAAATGGTCCAACTCCAGAGTAAGCAAGGTGTGCCGAATAAAGTGTTGACTGTGTATGATGTAGAGGAATCAGGGTGAAATTTGCAGGTGTGCCAGACTTGGACAGGTAAAATATGCAAACGTCCACAAAAAGAAAAGACAAATCAAAAGAACTGTTTAGCTGACAAATGAATAATCACTAGTTTATACTTATGCACGTAGCCTTTCCACATTGGAGAATTAGTATATTACAGCCCAAATAGATGAGATTAAATAACACAGTACCATCAACAGTTAAATAAAAAACTGTCTACGACTCTAATGTAAGCAAAGAAGTAGTGAAATAACCAACACACCAAATATATTCCACTTTCTTATTTCTTTTTCAGCATGCCCACACTCTGTCACTCCAACAACCCACGACGCAGCCCAGGCGCATGTGGGCCTGTCAAACATTTGCATCTTTGCACCTCGTTCCTTCACACATGAATGTGAATGTACAACCGTCCGTGCTGCGAGCGCGTTTGATGCAGAATTGTGCTGCTGCACATACCTACGTGCCAACTCCAGGCCAGTCCTGCGACAGCTCCATGTCACAAGACAGAAAACATTAACATGCTGAGTCTGCAGCAAGGCACAGTCACCAGGGAAACATTTCAGCCTGGCGCGCACGCACACGCACACACACACACACACACACACACACACGCACACACACACACAGCCAGCCAAAACACGTCGCCTTAAAGGCACCAGCAAAACAAGTTATCTAAAACCCCACATACAAAAACACAAAAGGGAGCTTTTAATAATTACAATTTTTAAAGCATTTATCAAAAAAGGTGGAATTAATTGGCCCAACCTCGACTTGTCAGTTACAATTAAAGATAACTACACTTAACAAAACATTTCAGCGTGTTAGACAGCTGCTGATATTTGACACGCATACTCTTAAACTGAAGCAACAAAGACATGGGGAGAGGCTAAATTTGCCTAAGCTAATAAGTTTCTTTAGGCTTCTTCTTTGTGTGACCTTAAGTTGAGTAAACATTTGAGAGAAATTGCAGACCCCACAACCTTCAGCTTTTTTTTTTTTTTTTTTTTTTTGCCTCTCTCTCAGCCAAAACACAGGCATTAAAGTGACGAGCAGCAGGCCATGACTGCAAATCTGTTTATTAAGCAAAAAATTTGGCATCCACACGAATCAGGTCAAAGGCTGGACTGTCTGCACGATCCTGTTCAAATCCCAGATGACATATTATGTGTCAGAGTCGGCTTACCTTTTTGGCAATGATGGGAATTCCAGCAGCGGTAGTTGTAATTGTTGTTGAACATGGTCTTCTTGCACATGGGATTGTTTTCCATGATGCCTGGACAAACGTCACCGCACTCTTTGGACTGCTTATTGCCTGCGATGTAATTGTTGAACTCTGCATCCATGATGAGGGACCAGTCTATGGAGTCCAGGTAGCAGAGCTCTGGGTTCTTCTCAATGCGAATGGCCCCCCGGGTGATGTTCCTCAGGTTGTACAGGCCGATGTCCTTCAGGCTGGTCATCTCAAAGATCACCAGGGCGTAGTTGTAGAAGAGGTTACGGCCACGGATGACGGAGAGGTTAGGGAAGAGCGTGCTCAGGCTGTCCAGGCCTGAAACTCTGAACAGCAGCAGGTAGTCCGTTATCATGGTCAGCTTGGGGAAGCTGAGGGTGCGGAAGACTTCCTGGTTGAAGTTGTTGTTGCTTTTGTCACCTATGAGGAGGATCTGCAAGTAGCCCTCCACCACTGTGCAGTTCTCCAGTTGTCTGAATTCACTTATGTTGTTGCCGATGTCGATACTGGGAGTGCAGACTGCAAGAGGGAGAAACAAAAAAGGAGGTGAGCGGCCACTGGTGCATGCAGACTGAATAAGTAAACAACGCAGAGGTTCTTAAACTGTGGCACAAATAAATACCCACTGATGGTACCTGGGCAACATTTAGAAGTACTCTAGATAAATTTTAGTGTGAATTATTTGCAAGATATGAATAAAATTACTATGATAAAGTGGGCAACAACGAGTCAGAAACTATTCTATTCACCTCTGAAGTCAGAACTTGGGAATGATACTAAACCCAATTCAGCTGTGTTCCCATTCCAAGTTGGAAAACAAATTGGATTTGCTATTTGACACAAGTAGCCAGGCTAACTAATATTAGCAAAAAAAAAAGCAAATAATAATTAGTTTGTCCAAATAAGCAGTGTAGAAATGTGTACCAATGGGGGTTGTGTGGTACTGTGTTTAAGAGATTTAATAAATACAAACTGTTGAAAGTGAAAAATACCTTCTATCAGCAGATATAATTAATATGCAAAGCAGCTACCATGGATTTTTAAGGTACGGATTGGTGAAAAACATCTCACTTTCTCGCTTCTATGAAGCTTTCTGATCATCTTTCCAACCTAAAACTTGAAAATTTCCACTTCTAAGAGAACATGAACATATATATATCCAACCTGTGTCCTTGGATCAATATTGCAGTATCAATGGATACAATTCTTTTTGTCTCAATGTTTTTTAATTTGTTTCATCAGCCCCAAAAACTATCCTGTGTGGTTTTATATGGTTTAAAATGAATTTCAAGATGGTGGTACTTAGAAAACCTGCTATTTACCAAAGTGGCACTTGATATGGAAAAAACTGAAAGTGCTTGCTCTATTATTTTATTTAATTTTCAATTTCCTTCTTTCAATTGTATTTACTAAAAGCTTCTCTAGTACACCAGCAAAAACTGCTCTTAGAAATCAAGATATTTCATCATTTATTGGATCACTCTTTCCTGTTAAATGTACATAAAAAAAAACACAAACACTCCATTCCTGCCATTGTCGTGCTCACAAAAAATGTTTAGAATATTCAAATACTGACAGTACACTTGAGCTGTGCTGTTGTTGGCAGATGTTTGTCTTCCTGTTCTCATTCTTTAAAAGCAACTTCACATGGTGTGACAAAGTAAACACTTGAATCGGGCTGGATTCATGCTTAGTTTAACAATAAACTTTTGACTTCCCGGCTGTTGTTACTCAAGCATAAGCCTCATAACCCCTTACCGTTTTGTTTCTCAGCTTGCTTTTAACAGGCTTTCATAACATTTTACCAAGGACACCACCAAAAGACACTTTTCAATTAACATGTACATGTTGTCTGAATATTGTACAGGTTAAACATTACAGTTAAAAACCTTTTTTTTTTTTTTTTTTTTTTGCAAGAAAAAGTATATAAATGTATCAGCTGGTCAAAATGTGTCCCTAGCTACATATTAAGATCAGACTGTTTTCTAACAATGCTAATACCCTTATGCTTAGAAGGAAAAGATATGAACAGCTCAAGTTGACTGCAAAGTTTTTATTTTATTTTTTTCATTTATTCAATTTAACTAAGGGTTTTTGGGGCAACTGTACCCCAGTGGTTAGAGATTAAGCTTCTGCCGTGTGATATGTTTTGTAACGTAGCTCAACAATAGTCCAACTGAATAGAGAGCATCTGTGAACAAGAATGTTTAAGTCTAGCCACAGACTGTCAATTAGATTAAGGTCTAAACATGACTAAGCTTTAATCTAAACCAGGGTCCCCAAACTTTTTCCTGTGAGGGCCACATAACTTTTCCCTTCTCTGGTGGGGGGCCGGAGTCAGTTTGTAACAGAAAAATTGTGACGATTGCAGGAGTGCCTAAATGTAAAAAATTATTGTTTTCCAGAAAGCACAATCAAATAACCCTCTCTGGGTTCTTCACGGAAAAAAGGCAGGAAATAACGCTATTTATGAAATAAATCCCGAATTTTCCGGACTATAAGCTGCACCAGACTATAAGCCGCAACCCCAAAGTTTTCTAAAAAAAAAAAAAAAAAAAAAAAAACCCCAGTAAGTATACATATTTAAGCCGCACCGGGCTATGAGCCGCAGATATCTCTGCCGCTCCAGGTTTTCCGCAATTTTGCAGGGTGAAAGAATCACCTGACTTATTCCAAGAGACGAAAGTTGCAGCAGAGGGGGGCGGACACCCAAAATTTGAGTCATAACAGGTCAATTGACTATCACATTTATTAAGGTTGAAAAAGAAAAAGTTGCCAAGTTTAGATTTAACTGAACTGATTACGGCAGTTTCCGAATGGTAACTAATATAACAGTAAAAGTGCTGATCCTTCGTGTTTGCTACTAGCATGTGCTAAATGAAAATGGGAACTTTCTTCTTCTTCTTCTCCTTTAGATTTCAATGGCAGCTTGCATCCATTATTGTTGCACTACTGCCATCTATTGGATCCTAATACCTATACCTCAAATTCTCATAACGATTATTATTAAAAAAAAAAAAAAAAAATTCTCCTCAATGTTATTTAACTGATCAACAACATTCTCAAATTTCAATTCCCTATTAAAACCTAATTCCGTAGTTTGAGGACCACTGATCTAAACCATTCCATCGTTGCTCTGGTTGTATGTTTAGGTCTTTCTCCTGCTGGTAGTTCCAACATCTGCCCCACGATGGGTTTCACTCTGCGTATTAATGCAGATTTTTTTATTTTTTTTGTTTGAGCAATAAAATAGGCAGTAATAATCGTTTTTCACTATGTGGCGATTGTAATAACTTAAAAATGTAATATAAAATAGAAAGTCATCAGATCTTTGGAATTTATACAAGCTAGTAATTTCCGTCCCAAAATTGTCCATTTATTTCGGCCGACATCAAAATGTTGACCAATCAACACTGCCAACAGGGCAAAGCTCCAAAATTCAACGCACACACAATAGTTCTTGTCCATATGCTGCCGTCCCACAATAGAAATCTTCCCCTCTAGAAATCTTACAGTTCATGCTCACCGATTAAATGAATTAAAGGAATCCCCTTCAACAGGAATGAAATGTCTTGGCTTTGGACCAAAGGCCACAGAACAAAAGGTACTAGTTTGACTTTTGAAGTGCACAGATTGGAAATAAATGCATACGAGTGCTTTTGAGGTTTGCTGAGGACCAACAATACTTCACATTATTATTTTGTTTTTGCTTTTAAACTTGCTGAAAATGTGTTTACTTTGATTCCATGTCTACACCAACCTCTATTGTAAACTAACTGCTACAAAAACTAAGATCAAAACATAAGGCTTTGTACAGTGCGTTGCTGAATTATGCAAGCCTGTGTGTGGAAAAGTTTGGTGACTAAAGACAGTAATGACTGTTGATGATAGGTGAAGTGTTTACCTTTCCAGCTCTTACTCCCACCTGGAAGATGGGCTCAAAACAATACTCAGCCCGAAGCCCCAGCAGCACCCACAGCAGCATGGAAGCCATTATCGCACATCACTGCAAGGAGGCTTTACACTTCAAAAGCTGGAGGGCATTGAGTCATGGAAAACTCACATCAAGCAGCAAACAGGTTGTCACACTACCACTTAAATGCTGGTCTATAAAGTTTTACTGTTTGAATGTGAAACAAGGAAAGCTGGTGGATTTCCAGTAAAGACATAGTGTTTTCCTGACGATCCCACCACATGAAAGGGAGCTTTTATACCTTCAAAGTTGTATAAGATGCACCGTTTTCACCATGCCATTGTTGCAAGGCAATACTGCAGGATAGAGGAGTGACTTTCCACCTGTTGTGAATGCATAAACCCAGTCCATGTGGCAAGCAGAGCATCAACGCCTGACAATCAACTGCAGTTAAAAGATTTAAGTGTAAATATTTATAAATGTTCAAATATAATTGTAAAATTACAAAAAGAAATATCCAGGATTTTAAGTCCAATGCAAAGTTATAGGCAGACAAGATGGCCATCTTAATTTATTTTTATTTATTTTAGTTTTATGGCAATAAAAACAGTTAAACTTGATATGGTTTGATATACGTCGACTTGTCTCTGTTCCCTGTCAGCCATCTGAATACCTGTTAATGCAGTCTCAACATGCAGGCCTATAAAAATGCACACTGCCTGGTGATGTTACATCACCACAGCCTGGATGCTTTACCCTCGGTGGCCTCTCTGCAGATCCGGCATGTCCGTCTTTCACAGGGCACTTCTGCTAATTATGCTTGTGTCGATCCTAAGCGGGAGATTCTGATCAAAATATACATGCTTACAGCGACAGAGGGAAAACACCAATGACAGGTGTAGCAGCCTATTAGCTGCCCCTACCCCCTCCCTCTACTTCCGCACTGACAGATTTTGAACAGCTGAGTACACAAGCCTATCTCTGCAGCTTTGATGAGACTCCAGATCGCATATTTACTTTTGATAACCTTTCCGGAACTGGCTGTAGCACCCGGACAATCAGAGGAAATCTACTTGAAGCTCCATAAAACAAGAAATAAAAAGAGGATACACCTCAGCTGCGGCCTCGTCCATCGCCGCTAGGCTGCATCCAGGCTGTTTACTCCTCATTTCCAATGTATTTTTGACAAGCTGCCCGAGAGGGCAGACGTATTCATAAAAAATTATTTTCCACATGAGAAAGAAATTCACCGGAATGCTTCTGCAGAAGCTCAGTCTTGACAGAAAACCCATTTGGTAGATCTGAAAAGCAGCGGCGCTGTCCTTGGCTAAACCAAACCTGCAGGGAGCCCCCTCCGTTCACAACTGAGACAGTAAATCAGAAAGAATGCCCAGAGTCTAGCCACACCAGTCATATTTAGCCAGCCGAACACCGGCGCTGGATTTCAACGAAAGAACCCCTCCACTGCTCCCGGGTTCGTCCTGTAACCACCGGAGGCTTACAGTAAACTCTGTAACACACAGTCCACAAGCTCCTCACTCTTCCCAATCAACAGAACTCAGTCTGTTTGGCTTGTGAATATTCTTTGGTTTGTTCTATTTTAAAACCAGGACTCTGATTCAACCCGGTAAACCTCACCTCCCCAACATGTCATGATGAATAAGGATGAATCAGGAAGCAGTTTAAAGTTTAGCTGGAAGCATTTCAGGTGGTAATACAAAAAAAACAAATGTTTAAACGGCTGAATAAGCTTCAACTTAATAAAATTTGAAGGCTTACAAGGTGTAAAAAGCTGTGAGGCTTGAATTCTTGACATTTTAGTCACGCAAAAGACTAGCTCTTTCTTCTGCATAAGTCTTGTTGTCACTTGTTAAAGTTCTGTTAGATGAAAGCTATAGAAACAGATCAAAAAGTATGAACTCACTGCTTTTATGTAAATTAATATGTTTGACTGAAAGGTGTGGCTGTGCCTCAGGAATATTTTTTACATAATTCCAAGGTCAAAATATCCTTTGGCTTGTTTTACAAAGAGAAATAAATGATAATGTCCCATGGTCTTTGGACAGTTCCTTGGGTTTTTGAATTTTATTTTATGCACATATTATGGCCAGGTTGTGCAGTTTGGTGTCCTTTTTATTTGTTTATAACTTTTTTCAAGTCTTTTATAAGTTTTTAAACTAAAAAATTTTTTTGTACCACTGGCTGCCATACAAGACATATTTTTACATACTATGTATGTCTATGTCTTACTATACAGACTATGTATTTTATGTCTGTCTTGTTTTTGAATCAATTACATTTCAATCCCACCAAAGCCACAGATTTCACCGTTTTCCATGAGGCAAAATTTGTTTTTCATGTACTGTAAATCAACCATTCTGCATAGAGGAAGAAAAATCTCCTAAATTGAAAACTTCTGACTTTGCGCCAATTATAAAAGATGATCAGAATTAATGTTACCACAGATTTTTGATAAACCTAGGCTGGTATCAAATCAACCAAAATGTCCAGTTTGCATACATGATATGGGGAAAACAGGTCATTCAGCTTAAGGGGGCATTTGTTAATAAAACTGGTAAATAAAAAAATAAATAATTAAATGTTGAAATGTTACTGTCAAGGGAAAAATATATTGATGCATGACCTGAAATAATCTGAATGGCAACTTTACACAAATATGTCAAGATCCAACAAAGCAGAAAAGCTAATAAGACAATAAGTGTTGGATTTTTTTCTCTATATGTCTGAAGTCTCACCACAGACTGGCAGGTCAAAGTAATATTTCGCTTTTCTGTTTCACCCTGGATACAGACAAAAGAACTCAATCTTTACTTCTCATGTTCCATTTCCCTGTCGTTTTACTAATGGGATAACAAACACCTATTACTTCTTTTCCCCCCGTTAATTTCAATTTGCCACACTGCGACAGAGTTGACAGTGTGCTGTGTAGCCTGGCTGACTTTCTCTGCTGCATGACTCAGAGTGATGGATGCAGAGTGCCAACATATCTGGGTTATGACTGTGGTGTGTTTGTGATTAGAGGTCAAGTGATGTGGGTTTTCTCTATGGCCAAGGCCGATATTTAGAAATGAGCACAGCTGATGGTCAATATTCCAAGACGATTATTTTTATTGGATTTGGAAGATTTTTTTTTTTTTTTTGTTTGTTTTTTTTTTTTTTTCTGGAATCAGAAATATGCAAACTAAATGAAGTAGTCCTTTCTTTTTCTTCTGTGACTCCCACATGTTAAGTTTTCTTTTTGGCCTATGGCCTTCTAGGAAATGCCACTGTATAAAATAATAATTATACCATTATAATCTCTTATGGGATGTTATTCACTTTGCTTTAAAGATTAAAAATGCCAGCTGATCTGCTTGATTCTTGTGCCTGTTGTGATGTCATTAGCCAAAATCAGACACTGATAATTTTCCCCTAGATTGATCAATGATCAACAACTAAAACACTGGGGGGAAAAATCTGATTTTTTTTCCCCTTCTGTTTGTTAAATACCTTGCATTTCCTTCATTTTCAGTTTGATTTAAGACCACTAACTCTATCAAAGATCCTCCAGCGCATTTATTTTTAGTGACTGGAGAAGAAAATGGAAAACCATCAATTAATTAACCCTTGTATGGTCCAAACCATTAAAAATCGGAAGTTATTCCAAAAAGTTTTAATTAAAAAGTAAAAACATTAATTTAAGATGCTTTTAGATATTTAATTGTATTATCTGAAGAAATAATTAAAATTCAGCTTTACAACTTTTCACTATCTTGTAAATGAAAATGGGAAACCTAAACTATACCGCAATTTAATCTGCCTTTGTTTTTATCTTACGTGCAAAATATTGGTACTGTTTCAAAGTTTCTTAATGCACTTTAAGGTGAAATAGTTTAACAAATAATTCCTTTGAGGATTCCAAGGATTCCATTCCGGATCCTTACAAAAATATTTTTGTTTCAGAATTTAGGACTTGTTCAAGCTTTTTCTGGTTTTCTCTTAAAGACTTGATTATTAAAACTTCAGATAAAAGATTAAATCTTTACCCGGTCAGGTCTTGTTATCTACATGCTCCTTAAATCATATTTATCACTTTATCATTTATCACATAATCTACATAAAGTATAATTCAATGCAAAATATTTTTTTTTTTTGCGATTTTGTGATTTTAAATTACAAAATCTAAAATTACAAAATCTGGAAAACACACTACATACATACATACATACATATAATGTATATTTGTCCTGACGTATCTAGACTTGGAAAATTGTAAGCTCAAATGTCATACTTTTCCTGGCTACATGGGAACCATGTTAACAAGACTGATGGCTATCTACATCACCATGCAACAAGAACAAAACAAAAAAATGTTTTTAATTGACGATTAAAATCAACACTAACACTGTCCCGTTCTTTTATATCTGCACCACAATTCATTGATCTGCAGAGGCCACATTTGCATATAAATATGGGCTTAACAATAAATGCAATGTTTACATCGCCGAGAGAAATCTGCTGGATATAATTCCAACAGATTTTAAAACAACCGTAAAATCACCGTGTTGGTGTTGTTTAATCGAGTGGCCCAGTCTTCCCACATAGAGTTTGTGCTGGAGCATGGAAAAACATCGTGTCCCAGTGAGTGTGTTGCTGAGCAGCATTACTTACTCTCTGCGGTGGCGGGCCGAAGGCAGGAGGACAGAGCCAGCATCAGACCCCCAAACAAGGTCAAGCGGCTCCCTTCCATTTGAGACCTCATCCCCGTACACGGAGATTCACCAAACAATCCCGCGGGAAGATGAGTTGCGAAGATGGAAACGTGGGCAAAACCCGGCCACAGCGGTCAAACACCCCCTTTTTTTTTTTTTTTTTGTTTTTAAATCTCCAACCAGCACCTTGTAGCTGTTAGCCGGCTAATGGAGCTAATAGCTACTACCAGGAGGCTAGCGAGGCTGCTCTCTCACGTTTCCTAACGGGAGTCCAGTCGTGCTCCAAAAAATCACCGATTTATCCCGCTGGCCAGACAGCGCGTATTCATAGCTCACTCTATCCCTGCCAAACACAGCGCTGCATTGACGTGTATAATGAAAGCATGGCGGCTAAACTAGCGGCGGGGATTCCTCGGTGATCGTAATCCACATCTTCACACTCCATATCAACAGGGGGAGGGGGGATCTTCAATGTTCTGCTGCTGCAGGGTCTTCGGGAAGCATGAAACGGTTCAGACTAGCCTTAAAATGGGGGTGAAACGAGGTGAAGCGGGGCATCCAAAGGCACGCTGCATTTAAGCACAGCACTGTTATCTGAACGACGCAACGTCTCTGTGGAAATATCCACGACAAAATCTGGTTTCAGACCGAAGCCTCCTTCCTTCTCCTCCACCTCCTTCTCCTCCTCCTCAGCCGGTCATCACACGCTCACACACACCGCCTTGTTGTTGTAGACGTCGTTGATAGCAAAAGTAATATCGGACTGCAAAGCATCTGATTTGGTCAAGATTTTTTTGCAACTCGGTGCTTTTCGCCAATATATAGCCAAACGGGCAGCGTGGTTAGACAGATTAATGCACAAGTACACGCACGGTCTCCCTCGGTCAGTCTGCAGTCTGCTGCGTTCGCTGTAAACACGGCGCCGTGCGCACAGATCGTCTCTGTCTGAAAGATGAATCACGCAGCTGTACCAACTTAGAGAGTAAGGAGGGCGTCGTTTCTACTGCAGTTTAGCTTTAGTTACCATGGTAGCACTGTCCAGCTTGATGCTAACTAACCTTTTATCAAATAAATTATTAACTGTAACAACAAACTGACTCAAAAGTAGTCAAATTACTTAGTCACTGTCGTTAATAGAGAAGAATTTCTCCAAGTCAAACTTCCTTTAGCATTTCTATAAGTAGGTGCTCTAAGGACCCATAAATTCTCTAGTAAAAATAGTTATTTTCGTCGTTTCTTAAAATGGTCAGGATCAAATACGGTCACGATTAACATAGAATTAAAAAAATGACAGAGTGAGACCTCCGTGTCACCAGCCTAAATTGACACAGCCATAACCACTCTTTTTTT